ATCTTTCTTTTATTCCATTTATTCAATTCAAGGTAGAAAAGTTTTTTTTTTATCTTGGTCTCATATTACGAACAAACATATGCATTACAGCTACATCCATTTCCCCTAATGTCACTTCTGCCATATAAGAAAACAGAATTGTAAAATGTGTGACGTTTTTGGACGTAGTTTCAAGGTACTAGGTACACTGACACTAACAGCATCTCAGAGGCATAACGTGCTATCTAAACTCAAAAGTCTTACATGGGTAATCAGGCGTTCACCTTTGACCTACGACCCCAAGAAATGATGACAGGACAGCGCAACCGGTAACGGGAGCAAGGTAACGGGAGCATGGTATTTTCCCATATATGCAAATATAATTCATTAATATATGCAAGATTTATTCATACATGCAAGCACGTGCATACAACTTGTATACCCTATGTATCATAAGCAATTCATTCTACATATAAGGTTACCCCTTTGCACTCGCATTCTTTCTACCTCAACCTAAGGCACTCCCACATACCCCTGCACACTCTTACGCACCATGTGCACTCTCACGCACCCTGTGCACCCCCATGCACCCTGCGCACTCTCATTCAACCTCCCCGAACCTCATGCACCCTCACGCACCTTGTACACCCCCATGCACCCTGTGCACCCCCATGCACCCTGCGCACTCTCATTCAACCTCCCCGAACACCATGCACCCTCACGTAAACTGTGCACCCCCATGCACCCTGTGCACCCCCATGCAACCTGTACACTCTCATTCAACCTTTCCAAACCTGATGCACCCCCATGCACCCTGTGCACTCTCATCCAACCTTGTTAAACCTGATGCACCCCCATGCACCCTGTGCAGTCTCATTCAACCTTCTTAAACCTGATGCACCCCCATGCTCCCTGTGCACTCTCATTCAACCTTCTTAAACCTGATGCACCCTAATGCAACCTTTGCACTCTCATTCAACCTTCTTAAACCTGATGCACCCCCACGCACCCTGTGCACTCTCATTCAACCTTCTTAAACCTGATGCACCCCCACGCACCCTGTGCACTCTCATTCAACCTTGTTAAACCTGATGCACCCCAATGCATCCTGTGCACTCTTATTCAACCTTGTTAAACCTGATGCACCCCCACGCACCCTGTGCACTCTCATTCAACCTTGTTAAACCTGATGCACCCCACGCTACCTGTTCACTCTCATTCAACCTTCTTAAACCTGATGCACCCCCACGCAACCTGCGCACTCCCATTCAACCTTCTTAAACCTGATGCACCCAAATGCAACCTGTTCACTCTCATTCAACATTGTTAAACCTGATGCACCCCGACGCAACCTGTGCAGTCCCATTCAACCTTCTTGAACCTGATGCACCCCCACGCACCCTGTGCACTCTCATTCAACCTTCTTAAACCTGATGCACCCCCATGCAACCTGTGCACTCCCATTCAGCCTTGTTAAACCTGATGCACCCTTACGCACCCTGTGCACTCCCATTCAACCTTGTTAAACCTGATGCACCCCAATGCAACCTGTGCACTCCCATTCAACCTTCTTAAACCTGATGCACCCCCATGCACCCTGTGCACTCCCATTCAACCCTCTTAAACCTGATGCATCCCCACGCAACCTGTGCACTCTCATTCAACCTTGTTAAACCTGATGCACCCCCACGCAACCTGTTCACTCTCATTCAACCTTCTTAAACCTGATGCACCCCCATGCACCCTGTGCACTCCCATTCAACCTTCTTAAACCTGATGCACCCCCATGCACCCT